CTCCATTCTGAGATTCTAAACATAGTGAATGATTGCATCTGACAAACTGCAATCATATGAGTTTATTTCCATTTTTGAAACTTTATTACACAATACATGATAACAAGTTTACCATCAGTTTTACATAATCAACTAATAATGTTGTAAAGATACAGGAAATGTCAACCAAACACTTTAACATGTCTTATTAGTTAAATAATGAGACTGTTAACATGCCTAAGAATTGAATCTGAGGAAATGTGAAACAAGACAGCAGTTCTGACATGGGTTTATTTCCATTTTTAACACTTTTTTTAACATAAAACAAAATAAACAGTTAACTGCAATTTTTATATGATCAACTAAGAAAATTGATGAGATGGGGAAAATATCAATAGAATAGTGTTAAATGTCTAATTTCCTCCATTCTGAGATTCTGAACATAGTGAATGATTAAATCTGACAAACTGCGATGATATGAGTTTATTTCCATTTTTGACACTTCATTACACAATACACGATAACAAGTTTACCATCATTTTTACATAATCAACTAACAATGTTGTAAAGATGCAAGAAATGTCAAACAAACACTTTTACGTATCTTATTAGTTCAATAATGAGACTGTTAACATGCCTAAGAGTTGAATCTGAGGAAAAGTGAAAAAACAGCATAACTTCTAAAATGATGCCCCGATTATGCTGATTTTCGAACTCAACCTGCATTTAAGTAAGATTGACCACTCCTGTGAGTTTAATGACAATTGGGCTTTCTGTTTTTCTTATATTGTGTTTACAGTGTTGCATATATGCTGAAAAATGAAAAAAAACAGCATAACTACTAAAACAGTGGCCCGATCATGCTGATTTTCGAACTTGACCTGCGTTTTCATAAGATTGATTACTCCTGTGAGTTTCATGACAACAGGCCTAACGGTTTTCCTAAAAATGTGTTTACAGGTTGCATATATGCTGAAAAAAGTGAAAAAACAGCATAACTTCCCTTAAAATGGCCCGATCATGCTGATTTTCGAACTTGACCTGCGTTTTATGAATATTCATCAGCTCTATAAATATTAAGCCAAAAAGTAAAACTGCCCTCCACTTATCGTGTTTACAAGGAAAGTGCACGGCGCCGACGGCGACGGCGACGGCGACGACGGCGACGACAGACGCAGGTGACAGCAATATGTACAGACACATCTGTGTCTGTACATAAAAAGGCCATTTCAGGTACTCACTTTGTGTCAGATGATGACATCATACGTGAAGTGGAGGGGTTTCTGAATGGCCAAGAGAAGGGCTTCTATAAAAGTGGCATAGATGCTCTCAAAACTCGCTGGCAAAAGTGTATAGATACTCAAATAGACTATGTTGAAAAATAAAGAACAAGACAGCACTGTTCTGACATGGGTTTATTTCCATTTTTAACACTTTTTTAACATAAAACAAAATAAACAGTTTACTGCAATTTTTATATGATCAACTAAGAAAATTGATGAGATGGGAAAAATATCAATAGAACAGTGTTAAATGTCCAATTTCCTCCATTCCGAGATTCTGAACATAGTGGATGATTGAATCTGACAAACTGCAATATGATACGAGTTTGATTCCATTTTTGACACTTTATTACACAATACACGATAACAAGTTTACTATCATTTTTACATAATCAACTAACAATGTTGTAAAGATGCAGGAAATGTCAAACAAACACTTTTACGTATCTTATTACTTAAATAATAAGGCTAATAACATGCCTAAGAATTGAATCTGAGTAAATGTGAAAAAACAGCATAACTTCTAAAATAATGCCCCGATTATGCTGATTTTCGAACTCAACCTGCGTTTTAGTAAGATTGACCATTCCTGTGAGTTTCATGACAATTGGGCTTTCTGTTTTTCTTATATTGTGTTTACAGTGTTGCATATGTGCTGAAAAATGAAAAAACAGCATAACTACTAAAATAGTGGCCCGATCATGCCAATTTTCGAACTTGACCTGCGTTTTAGTAAGATTGATTACTCCTGTGAGTTTCATGACAATAGGCCTAATGGTTTTCCTTAAAATGTGTTTACAAGGTTGCATATATGCTGAAAAGTGAAAAAAACAGCATAACTTCCACTATAATGGCCCGATCATGCTGATTTTCGAACTTGACCTGCGTTTTATGAATATTCATCAGCTCTGTAAATGTAAAACCAAAAAGCAAAACTGTGTTCCACTTATCGTGTTTACGCTGAAAGTGCACGGCGCCGGCATCGGCGACGGCGACGGCAACGACAACGACAGACGCAGGTGATGGCAATATGTACAGACACATCTGTGTCTGTACATAAAAATACTTGTAAAATGTGTACCCCTTCTATATGAGGCTCACTACTTATCAATCAACCCTGGTATGTAGACAGTCTCTGTAAATGACCCATCCACATGCAATTAAGGTAGTCAAGTTCCAGAAATATTTCATGAATGCATGAACTGGCAGACCTGTTTTCAGTCATAAATATAATAACTAATTATGCAGTCTCCATGAATGCATGCACCAGTTTTCAGTTAGAATAACTGTCTCAAAAACATCTTTAAACATAACACCCAATTAAATAATTAAAATTAAAAAAAACTTTCTTCATGTGCTCAGTGTTGATCTACATGCACCAGTTTTTAAGCAAAACATCATTTTTAAAACTCAGCATCTGCTGTGTCCCCTGCCTTTGATACTGCTATGTTTATAAAGCAGCTACAGTGCTACAGTGTATGGTTTCATTTTGACCAGAAAGTAGAACCATCAACAAAGTGAAACCACTTGCGGCTGCTGGTGTCATCTCTCTATGAATTTCTAGTCTTTGAACTAAAGAACTTTCTTCATGTGCTCAATGTCTATTTTTTATTATATTATCATTCATCAATCATCAGTGTCTGCAAACACATTTCTAAACATTGCTACTGGATAGATCTCAGGTCTCACGTCTGGAGCATTGTCATCATTTAACTTAATTTTGACTTCAGATTCTGTATAAGCTTCCATCTCTACTTTTGGCCCATGTGGCATATAATCATCTTGGAATTCCTTTTTTATAGACTGTAGTGAAACCACTGTCCTATTATCCGCTTCTTCAAATTCCTTTTTATAGTCTGAGAAGGCATGAATCATATCATGTTGTTCACATTTATTTTTGACGCTAAAACTTTTTTCACAATGCAGGCATTTGAATAATTCTTGGTCAGTGTGAGTTTTTTTATGTTCTACACAACACGGTTTTTCAATAAAACACTTTTCACAATACTGGCATTTAAATGTTTTTTCCCCATTGTGAGTGTTTTCATGTTGGGTACACGTTTGTTTAACTCTAAAGCACTTTTGGCAATACTGACATTTGAATGGTTTTTCTCCAGTGTGGTTCCTTTCATGTTGTACACATGCACTTTTGACACTAAAACTCTTATCACAATACTGACATTTGAATGGTTTTTCTCCAGTGTGGGTCCTTTCATGTCGAACACATGCACTTTTGACACTAAAACTCTTATCACAATACTGACATTTGAATGGTTTTTCTCCAGTGTGGGTCCTTTCATGTTGTGTACAATCCCGTTTTTCAATAAAACCTTTTTCACAATACTGACATTTATACAGACTTTCTCCAGTGTGGATCATTTCATGTCGTGTACACTTTTGTTTAACCCTAAAACTCTTATTACAAAACTGGCATTTGAATGGCTTTTCTCCAGTGTGAACCATTTCATGTTGTTTACACTGACTTTTGAAAGTAAAACTCTTTTCACAATACTGGCATTTGAATGGCTTTTCTCCAGTGTGAACCATTTCATGTTGTTTACACTGACTTTTGAAAGTAAAACTCTTTTCACAGTACTGGCATTTGAATGGTTTTTCTCCAGTGTGGGTCATTTCATGTTGTGCACAGTTTTTTTTAGACATAAAACACTTTTTACAATACTGGCATTTGAATGGTTTTTCTCCAGTGTGGGTCATTTCATGTTGTGTACAGTTTTTTTAGACATAAACGACTTTTTACAATACTGACATTTGAATGTTTTTTCTCCAGTGTGGGTCCTTTCGTGCTGCATACAATTCCATTTTTCAATAAAACCTTTTTCACAATACTGACATTTATATATTTTTTCTCCAGTGTGGATCATTTCATGTTGTTTGCAAGATCTTTTAAAACTAAAACTCTTATTACAATACTGACATTTGAATGGTTTTTCTCGAGTGTGGGTCGCCTCATGTCGTACACATGCTCTTTTGACACTAAAACACTTTTCACAATGCTGGCATTTAAATGGTTTTTCTCCAGTGTGAATCATTTCATGTCGTACACATGTGCTTTTGACACTAAAACTCTTGTCACAATACTGGCATTTGAATGGTCTTTCTCCAGTGTGGGTCCTTTCGTGCTGCATACAATTCCCTTTTTCAATAAAATCTTTTTCACAATACTGACATTTATAACGTTTTTCTCCAGTGTGGATCATTTCATGTTGTGCGCAGTTTTGTTTATACGTAAAACACTTTTCACAATACTGACATTTGAATGGTTTTTCTCCAGTGTGGGTCCTTTCATGTCGTACACATGTCCTTTTGACACGAAAACTCTTTTCACAATATTGACATTTAAATGGTTTTTCTCCAGTGTGGGTCCTTTCATGTCGTACACATGTGCTTTTGACACGAAAACTCTTTTCACAATACTGGCATTTGAATGGTTTTTCTCCAATGCCAGCCATTTCATTCCTTTTCATTGACATATCAAATCACCTGCACTTGTGTTGTTGCTCTCCACTTCTGTTAAGAATATGCACCCTGGTTTCTGCAGGTCCATGTATATGTAGTGTTACTCATGGATGACTTGTCACAGATCTGGAAGGTGGCTGTCTCCTTTCTTCATGGCAAAAACAATAAGTGCTGCTGCTGCTTCTGAACGTCTTGTTACGAAAAAGACATTTGTTCTCTGCATGTGGTATGCATTCATGAAAAGCCAGTATTGCAGAGATCACTCCTTAAATTTTTTAACCTTTGACTTCAATTATTCACATTTTAATTCCTGGTTTTCCTGTTATAATACCACCATTATTTCCACAGCTTTTCTGTTGTTCTACTGTTCAGCAAAGTGAAAAAAAAATATGTGAAGTCGAAGTACATGTACCTTCTTTCGCGAACAACAAAGAAATGAGGGTTAAAACAAGCTCTGATATTTGATCACAGTGATGAATGACACTAAGCTCCCCTGGGGCCAGGCTGGGGGTATAAAAACAACTGCTCGGAATGAATTGTTTTTCAGGTAACTGTTCTTGAAGGTGAAGTGAACTTTATGTGAACGAAGTGGAAGAACCTTCAGTCAATTCCCCAGATGGTATCCGATCCTTTCCGCTTACCACCGTAAAATAATATTTCACTGGCTTCAACTGTGTTTCATAGAGCCATGGTGTTTGTGGAAAGGGTAAGGAACTCGTGTTCGATGCTATTCGTCTATTGATGCCCAAGACAAGCCACATTAGTATACCGGATTTTTTTTCAATTATTCAATTCATTAACTTGCAATGGTGGCAGTTAAAGAATATATATATATATATATATATATATATATATATATATATATATATATATATATATATATATATATGTGTGTGTGTGTGTGTGTATATATATAAATATATGCTAATTAATTAATTGTTGGTGGCACATAAAGGATGCTTAATTTTTATTGAAAACACTTTGATGCAATAAAGTACAAAGATACATTATTAATAAAATCATATTTTATTTCAAAGTATGTTTTGTTTTATTACATAACCATAGATGGTCTGCCATATATATATATATATATATATATATATATATATATATATATATATATATATATATATATATATATGAAATTGCAGAGTCAAAGGCTGCAGGGGGAGCTTTCATATTTCTTAAAAAGGTGCACATGCTCTTTGAAATATCAGAACAAACTTAATTTTCCCCCTTTTCTGTTCTCCATGCTGGCTAAGAGAAGTATCTTACTTCTCATTCAGTCAATAAAGTGTCTGACATATATAGACAGTCTCTGTAAATGACCCATCCACATGCAATTAAACATAGTCAAGTTCCAGAAATATTTCATGTTCGAATGCATGAACTGGCAGACCTGTTTTCAGTCATAAATATAATAACTAATTATGCAGTCTCCATGAATGCATGCACCAGTTTTCAGTTAGAATAACTGTCTCAAAAACATCTTTAAACATAACACCCAATTAAATAATTAAAATTAAAAAAACTTTCTTCATGTGCTCAGTGTTGATCTACATGCACCAGTTTTCAAGCAAAACATTATTTTTAAAACTGGGCATCTTCTGTGTTCTCTGCCTTTGATACTGCTATGTTTATAAAGCAGCTGGCAGTAACAGTGTACAGTTTCATTTTGACCAGGAAGTAGAACCATCAACAAAGTGAAACCACTTGCGGCTGCTGGTGTCATCTCTCCATGTATTTCTAGTCTTAGAATATTTTAATAGGTTTTCACAAAATTACAAGTTCATTTCCTGAACCATTTTCTGAATGATTTCCGTAGTGACCATCTTTTGGGTTTTGACTCTGAAAAAAAAAAAGAGATTGAAGATAGTTAGTAAAATTTGAGAATAATCTGCTATGTAATTAATCAAATTAATGGAACTAATAATGAAAAGGGTTGAAATAATCTACTGAAGAGACTGAAATAGTCAAATTGCTACACTTTTAACCAAAATATAACTTCTGTTACCATGGGAATAAATAAATACAATAAAAATAGATTATTAAATGCATTAATATCCATTTCCAAAAATTCAAAGACAAAAAAAAAAAAAAAAATCCTTTTTTACCTGTAGATATGACACTACCATCCTCCTCCTCACGTTTGAGTGACATCACCATCATAGGATTGTGGTGAGAGGAAGAGCTAGAGGAGGACGAGGAGGATGATTTCTCACCTGTGAAAGGCGACCATGTGTCATGCTGGGCATCATAGGTGTACTGAGGAGAGCCGTGGTCCAAAGTCACGTCCCACCAGTCACACTTTTTATACCGCTGTAAATAAGGGAACAAGATTTAAAATTATTAATTAAAAATTGTAAATAAATAGCCATATTTAAAAATTTGCAATCTATTCAGTTGCTTGATTTGGTAAATTTTAAAACAAGAGTGATGATTTAATATAATTTTGAAAAAGAAGAATCTGATAACATCAAGTTTTTAAAGAGATTTTTTTTGGCCAAAATGAACAGTTGCTATCTCTTTAAATTGTCTCTCTCTTTTCTTATCTTTTCTCTTTCTCACACACTGTCTGCCTTTCTCTATTTTTGTGGTTGCTCTTTGTTAGCTTTCTCTCTCTCTCTCTCTCTCACGCACACACACACACACATGACATATAAATTATTATTATTACACACACACACACACAATACCATAACTCTCTTTACCTGTGGAGTTTCCCTGTGTTCCTCCACATCTGTCTCTGTGTCTTCCTTCACCTTGACCTCCTCTAGTTGTGAGAACATAGCCTTGGCTTCCTCTGTCATCCTGCCAGTCATCTCCATCTCCTCACTGAATGCCTGGAGCTGTTCTGAGCCTGCCTGAGTGTAACAGACTGAAATCAAATCAATATTTTCAATATCAATCAATAATCAATCAATATCAGTGTCTGAATTTTTCTCCATGATGGAGGAACCCCTCCCTGTTCTGTTTCCAAAAGTAATATTTAGATTATTTTTAAATTTTATTTTGTAGAGTAATTCTGTACCAGTAGTTTCAAAGGGGGAGGTGGAAGGATTTTTTTTTTTTTTGGGGGGGGAGGGGGGATTTAATCTCTTTACAAATGACTGGTTATTTTACCAGTGGGATTTTACCTGCTAAAAACATGTCAGTGATGAGCCCAAACTGTTGAAACGTGATGTAAGCTCCTCCTGATTTCTCTGCTAGCTCCTGATAAAAATCCTTAACGTCCGTGTTATTCATGGCCTGTACTCCATACACCTACATTTGGGGAGGAAACATAACTTAAGACCATTTTATCACTGTTTTATGTTTTGATGAATCTACATGATTTAGAAAACAAATAAAAATTAACAAAGATAAATAAATAAATATATAAAGTAAAATATTTTTTTATCAATAACCAAAGAAAACATTATTCACCAATGCTTATTTTGTTAATATTCATCTTTTAACTTGATACAAAAATACTTAAACTAAAGCAATATGGCCTTGAGGTTATACAAGACATTCAAATGACCTTGACCATACTGTATTTTAAATGACATTGACTCTATGCTGACCTTGACCCCCATTCCAGAGAGGACATCCAGTTCATCATGCCAGTTAATGTTCTGGTCTGTGTACGATGGTGGGTGTGGCTCACAGTCCCCGATCACGACGAGAGCCTTGGCGGAATCTTCTGCCCAGTCCAACTGCTGGGCTTTTCTCAGGACCCACTCGTAACACTACAAGAAAAGAAAAAAAAAAGGGTAACATTTACTCCACTGCCTCGATCATCTCTTATATCACATATTATTTATACAAAATAAATTCTCTGGTGGTTAGATCGGATGAAGTTAATTATTTAAATGCAAAACTTCATTTGACAATAAGATGAAAAGAGTCACCAATCATAATGATGTCTTGTTAAAATGTAAATGATATTCTCTTTTGTCTGTGTTAGTGAAGAAATATATACAAGAAAAAAGTTCTGACTTTAATTAAGAATACAGTTTGGAGTGGTAAGAAAATTCTCTCATTGAAAGAAGTTTCGTTGACTTTGGCTCCCTTCCTAAATATAAATAACCCTCTAAAATGAGTTTTATATCTCTTGAAACATTTCACACCCTTTTCACTAAAAGCCAAAATAAATAAATGGAAAGACAAAGATAATAAATAAATAAATAAATAAATAAATAAATAAATAAACAAGGCAGTTACCTCTGGTGTGTCACCTCCAGACGTGACAGGCACCGTCTCGACAAAGTCCACCAGAGTGTCCACGCTAGATGTCAGGTCAGCTGACCGCAGGACATATTTGTTGTAGTCACAGTAGTCTCCGTGGGCTATGATACCAATACGGATGTTTGGGATGTCTCGGAGCAGCCTGGTCACTGTGTCTTTCAGTTTTGTTCTAACCTATGATCAGAAGACATTAACTGATTAGATGTTGCATTTCAGTGTGTGATGAATTGTTTGTGACCAAATGTCTTTAGTGTTCAAAATGTCCTGTATTAATATAAGTTAAGTTAAAAGTTTTGTTAATTTTTTTAAAAATAATTACCAATGCATTTCATTAAATTTTGAATTATAACAAGAAGTATCGTTAAACTTTAAAAGATTTTAAAGTTTTCAAAATTTACTATCAAACCAGAACCAATGAAAACAAAACCTTTTGTGTCAGAAAAGAAGAAAATGAATTCTGAATACTTCTTAGACATCTGTTTACCTGCGTAAGCACTGAATACATGCTGCCGGTGGTGTCGAAAGAAAAGACAACTTCTACTGCCCTCCCCGCCGCATCAAACGTGGACAGCACTGCCTGGATAAATAGAATTAAAATATTGTGATGCACATTAACACCAAAAATATTTTGTAATAATATATTCAAAAAAAATTTTTTTTTTCATTTGCAATTGTGAAATGACTTTTAATTCTGGAAATCCTGAGGAAGAAGTATTGTTCAAGAATAAGAAGAAAATCTTTAATTTTTTAGAGCACAATTACAGCATTCACAAAAGAGTACTATACCTCTCTATCTTCTTCGCTAATTTCTTCATCTATCTGCGTCGCACTAGCAGTATCATCTACAGTTGTTGTTGTTTCTACAACCTCCGCGGGTGCTGTTTTTACCTCCAGAGTCAGAAGAGCCTCATCGTGTATCCCAGCCTCGATGGCTGTTTCTTTGTTATCTTTCAGCAGCGCACCTGACAACTGAAATCATGATGTATTAAAACAATTAAAATTCCCTTAACACAAACATTGGGGATCACACTTACCTTGAGAGGGTATATATAGTAAATTAAACAGTCTCTGTGTCAATCATGAGTGACAGTTTCTATCCTGCTCAAAACTTCTAACTTAGTTTTTAAGCTCTGAGTTTTTAATGGTATAGTTAATGATTTTATATATCCCTTCTTAATACAAAGCCTTAAACCTTTTTTTAATCATACAGTTTTTTTTTTAACACAACAGTGCTTTTACAGCTAGAGCACTTACTCCTTATGTAATATATTTTGTATGATTATTGGCTAAGGAAACCTTTATCTTATCTTAGGTCACTGTAATTCCACATTTAGGTTGGATATTAATTAATGACTACTAAAGAAGATAAACTTTCAAATATGTCATGAAATGCATTGATAATTGATAAGATAAACCAGAATATCATCCACATGTCCAAAGTTTAACACTATTATAGCAATTGTTTCATATAAACAATGAGCTATATCTTTTTTTTTTTGAGGAATTATTTTTCTCATTATCTTGAATGAAATTTAATTTCCAATATCTTAATTTATATGATTTTAAATCCAAAGTTTTCAAAGTAATAATAATAATAATTGTTTATTTTAAAATTTAAATTTGTATGGAGATAATGACATTTTACATTCCAATGCACATAAAAACTTCCAGTGTGTACAAGACATAAAGATTATCATAAAACACAAAATCTGTGAAGCTACTGGTATACATGAACCTACCTTCAATATCTGTTTTGCTGGCTCAGAGTCAGTTTTTACTTCCAGTTGATTTTTAATCTCCTGCACAGTGGAAGTGTTGTCTATGGTGAGAGGTAAAGTTTCTCCACCTGTCTTCTTCACATATATATTAATCTTCTTCAAAGGAATTACCTGGAGTTAATCAAATGTATGAGAATATAAGTGACTAAGGTAAACCTACATTTCTTTTATTTCGATCTACACTTTATATTATCTTATAATTAAGTATAGACATGAGAGAGACTTAATGAGGCAGAATGTCAAAAACTGTGACATACAATGTAATCTTCTGTACTTTTATGAATTTGATGCATACATAAAACCTAAATATGCCTTCAAATTAAAATCTTAATATCTGATGTAAAAATTATATTCATGCATGTCCTTCCCTGAGTTTTAATCCTTGTTTAAGTCAATTTTAATGAATTTCAATGAAATTTCACATGCAATTACCGGTATTACAGGTAACCACTTACCTCAGCTTTCAATATCGTCTCCTTGCAGACGCCCAGGTATCCGAGCGTGTTTTGTTTTTTCAGGATTTTCCCTGTGTATTTCAGCTGAACCTGACCCACGCCGACCCCCGCCTCTTTGGCGACATGCTCGTAGATCTTTACCACTTGTGCTGACGGAAGAAGATTCACTGTTGTAGTTTTTCCTGATGGTAGTTTGATATAAACGTCAATCACAGGCGTTGCCATTTTTTCAATAAAATGTTCAAATTTATCGCTTTTAGTAAATACTGGTGTGGACAGAGACTGAGAAATGAAGATAACGCGATCAACAAACAAATTTTTCACCAAAATTGTAGTTTATCTGCACTAGTTCAAACGACTATCTGTTGTCTAATTAATACATCATTTCTCTTCTAGCACTTTATATAAATATCATCAAGCATATAGCGTCAAAATTAGAAGTTTTTCTTTATATACTCACCGATCATTCACTTCCATGTTGTCACTGTTGATATTCTATTTTTAACAGCAAATCAGAAAGCAATCTCCTGTTACTATTTTTAGTTTTGATAGTAGTTTGGATTTTCTTCGATAGATGGCTACGGCTAAAAATGCTAAGACTCTCCTATCGGCAATGTTAACAAGAGGTCTTAGTGTCTTTGAAAATATATTACTTTTATTACTACTATGTGCATTAATTTATTTTGCTTTATTGAATGCATATAGGCACACTTAGCTTTTAAAAAATCAATGCCATGCATTTACCTACCAACCGTACTGTTACCGTAAAGGTTACATTACACCCTAAAAAAGACATGACAATGCGACGTGATTTTTCACAAAACAGGTTATAGCAAGTAAATTCAATTTGGCAATAACTTTTCTTTATATCAAGGTTTTTTATATGTTTAAAATTAAGCAAAACATATGTTCACCTTGATGACCTATATCTGTCGACCAAAATAACTGACCTAGATATCTTATCCAATCAGCAAGCAACCTGCTACGCGGGATGTGACGTTTTCCCGCGAAATTCAGCGTGTGTACAGTGTTTGCTGCAAGCTCAAAATGCTTTTGTAAACAATCTGTCTGTACAAATTAACAGGTAAGAGCAAGTGCTATTTTATATACTTTAAGCTGTCTAACCAGAAAAGACGCTATTAATTTAATGTTGAAATGAAGAGTTTTAAGCTTTACAACTTTGCATAGGATGCCTAGTGAAGCCATGTTGTAACATGCCCGTCCATTGTTTTTGTCCAATCCAGTCCGAAGTAGACGAAATACTCAAAATGATAGAAAGTGTGTTATATTAACGTAGGATATGTGAGATAGTTTGAGACATTAGCCATTGAAACTAGACCAGTAACAGTTGTTTTGATGTACAGAAATGACATCTGCAGAGAAGAGTGAGAAGTGCTTACTTGTGCATTTTTCACAACACTCGAAGTCAATAATATCTGGAGAATCTTTCAGTATATTTTTTAATGCGTTTATGATTGATAATGAGAAAATGGAGTGGGGTTGCTGAGACTGTAGTTCTTTTTTAACATAAACACGGTGTGTTTCACTCCTGCAACTTCCCCAAGAGAAAAATATTGGTCACTGTATGTTATATGTTGTGTCCACTTCAGGTCAGTATGATGGTGACAATATTAGACGAGGGTGGAGGCTTGGAGCAGCTGCTGTCCACCATCAACAGCAAAGTGGCCAGGCAGGAGGACAGAGTGGACGCCTACTTGACCATCATGGAGTAAGCATTTTTGCAAGATAAAAGATAAATATATAATAATAATGTTAATAATAATTAAAATCCTGTGCACAAATGTCACTTGACTTGCTTCTGTAGCAAATGCAAAACTTTGAGAACTTGCGTTGTGGAAAAACTCCACGTACTGTCATGGTGATGATAAGTTGTTTCACACTTCAGGCGTCTGCGACAAGATGAGATGGGCATGTTTGTGAAGGAGATCTCATCTCATGTGGCGGAGATGGCCAAGTGTCTGTCCAGGGACATTATGGATGGTAACATTGAGATATCCCAGAATGCACTTCAGGTGCTCGGCTTCTGTTCACATGATGACGTCATTGTCGGGTAAGTTGTAGTAATAGAATTTCGATTTCATTGTAGGAGAACTATCTGAATGGTTACCAAATACTCCTATAAAAGGTTTATTTTGTGTTTCACTTCTTTTCTCTCAATACCTTTTGTTATTTTCCTTATTGTTACATCTCTTCTCTCAATGTTTTTTGTTATCTGCATCTTGCACAATAAAAATAACATCCAGATCTGTTTTCCAGATTTTTTCTGTAACATATACAACCAGTAATATCACTGTAACAGCATAACATAACATAACATAACGAAATGCAATACCAGTTAACTTGAAAACCTCAAAAACATCTTCAACCTTAAGTTTTACTCTATCATTTCAGTTCCCTCTCTCAGCAGGAGTGCTCCATTATCTTGAAGAACCTGTGCGCCGTGCTGTTAAAGTCTGCAGATAAAAGCACCTGTACAAGAGCGCTGTGGTGTTTATCCAAACAAAACTTTCATCAGGAAGTCGTGGCTGAGGAGGTGAGGGGATAGTAATGGGAAAATAATTCTTTTTAATATATTAGTTGAAGGTTGAAATGGTGTTCACTTCTTTCCCTTCTAAATCACTCTATTTTCTGAAAATTGTATCCAATATGGTGAAGAACTGTTTTAGATGACTTGTGCACAAACAAACAAACAAAGATACTGACACCATATGGGTTATTATTTTTACTTATATTTAGCTTTTTGATGAAGATTTTGTGAACTATAGTGCTTGTCACGTACAAGATTTTCCTTAAGATAGTGTGGGATAGAAAGTGGCCCTTAACATGTAAGAAACTAATGGAGGGAAGATTCAATGTCAACATTTAAAAAGGTCCCACCTACAAACAGAGCTCTGCTGAAAGTCTACTGTATTTTGCCAGAAGTTCTGATATGTCATCAGAAATATCTTGGTGCCTCGTGCATTTTCAGGATGTGTTAAGATACAAAATACATGTGTTATCTACTTTCAGATTCACACTGTCCTGTGTGGTCATCTTTGTGTTAAGATAAAGTAAATTGTTACTTTCAGATTCACACTGTCCTGTGTGGTCTGGAGCATGCTCTTGGTGGACAGGACTTTCAGTCTGTCACTGTGGAACACGAGGCAATTAATGCCATTGTGAGGTACGACCAGGTGGCACAAGGCTGTTTTGGAGAAATTTTTTGTTTAAATATTGTGATATTTTTGATTTAATGATGATGGGACCCTGTAAAGTGTTCTACTCATAGCAATTAGAATTTTTTAAACCCAGGCTTATGTCTGAGGTATATGTTTATTATAGGTTTGGCAATTTGTATCTCTATTACTCTAACATCTTTCTCAGGACACATTTTACAGATTTGAAATTCTTATCTTTAGAGAATGGGGTTAATGTCTGATATTCAATTTCCAAGTAACGTTTTAATTGTCTTAAAAGTTTAATGAAATTGTGTTTTTATCAGTAGCTTGGGATGTCAAGATAATATAAAATAGGAACGGACAACCTACGATTGCTTTTCTGGATCATTCAATTCCTACATAATGCACATAACATTCCAGGCTGTTAGAACAAGTTCCCATGCACATGTCAAAGCACGTGGTACGCTGGTGTTGTCTCGTGTATCCCCTACTCGTGCATCCTGCCATGAAAGTGCGAGAGCGTGCCTTAGTTGCCATGGAGATGGGCTTCTCATATATGATGCAGCATCAGGAGGCCATCTTAAAGACACTGATCCCAGACTTGAAGGCTGTGAGTTTTTAAACTTTTAAACATTCATAAAACCTTATTGTCACTAGACTTCTCTGTGACAGTAGTTTAATACTTGTTGGTAAAAAATACGATGTCAGATGTAATGTGAAGCCATATTTTGAAGAAAAATGAGATCTGTGGGGAGATGGGAGTTTGTAAGAATGGTGATAATAATTTTAAAAATTGTGTCCATTATTTTAAAAAGAGACTGTGCCCTCAAAACACTAAATGCAGAAAAACACCAACACTTAATACAGGGTAGTATATATAATTTATTGCTGTAAATTGAAATATGGATAGATATTCTCATTTAATTTGTTACTAGCTATTTTCCATATTTATGAGGTGGAAGACACCAAACTCTTTTCTAGACACATGGTCTGTTGTTTACCTAAAAGAAAGTGGTTATCATTATAAAGTTATGATAAATATAAGGCAGTTAACATACAAATTAGTGTTGTGTAGCTGTTACTGTTTTCCATTAAAGGTTAGTTTTTCCAATTTGATGGGTGTATTTAATGAAGTAATTTATGCTTTCATTCATTCAGCACATTGTCCCTGAGATGAGGAAGCTGATGGCGTCCAGGAATGAAGTTTTTATCCTCAAGGTCTGGTCATATTTTGTCCAGTTACTTGGCAAGGTGGGTAATGTGCTTTGTGATATTACATTATTATGTTTATAATAGAAATAAAAATGACAAAAAATAATGATAAAAAATGACAAATAAATGGTTTTACTCATACATTTGGAACACCTGACAATAAACAATATTTCTGCCTCATTCTCTCATACAGTGCAATAATTTTCTGTAAAGGTTCTGAGTGACTTGAGTTTCAGATATCTGAGTAATATCCTTTGACAGGCAGAATTTTGGTCGTATAGTTTAGACCAATTTTGGAGTGTAGCATTTCATGAAAAATAGACAATCAAATAACAGACAATCAAATAACCTCCCACCATGTCTCTCTTGTACAGGTTCTTCACCATGGCTCCTTCATCAACCTGATGTTACCAGTCATAGAGGCAGGGTTCAAGTCCTTGTCCACAGAGTCCAAGATGGCGGCCTTTCACGCCTGGGATCATCTGGTGGAGAACTTTGCTTCAGATCCTAGTAAGTTTGTGTGGGCGTGCATGTTTGCATGCATGTGTATGTGCGTGCAAGATTTAAGATGGACAATAAGTGTGATTAGCCTAATACAATTATTGTGCCATAGAATTTATGACAGTAAAGATTTAATATAAAACTGGAAGATTGAAGAGTTCCTAAGAATTGAAATATTATTAAATAATTCTACGCATTTGAAACAACTAGAAAATGTAAGAAATGGTTGTAAAGAAATACAAATGAGTATTCATAATTATTTTTTATACAAAAAAAAAATCACAAAATGCATTTATCATCTTCAATATATTTGCAAAAAAGAAAAGAAAAAATTGTATAAAAAAATTAATACCTCATTAAATTCCAGACATCATAGGGGACCCAAAGAGAATCAAGCTGGTGATGCAGGTGTTCAGAGTGAACAACGCTAAGACGGAGGCTTTGGCGGCAGTCAAGCTGCAGAGCTGGTGGAATTTTATCTGTAAACTGGGGAGTAAAGCTACGGCTCATTTTGACCAGGTAAGTTTCTCTTTAAGACATCATTTTAATAAGATGATTACTACAGCAGTGTTAAGTTTTAATATTCTTCTCCTGTGTCTGTGGAGTTTTTCTTTTCTTTAATTTCAGAAATATGTCTGGACATGGATTTGCCTTGTTTATTTGGAAGTAATATTTAAGAAAACATGATAGGCATAGAGTGTAACAAAGGAGAATCTTGTGGCATATTTGTTTGAAATTATCACCACTTTGTCAACATTATCTCAGCTTTTGTACATCTCACATATTAAAAACTGTGTTGACTGGGTTGCCACCTAGTGTTATAAAGATGAAAGCATGGTGAAGCAGAACTTGTACACCTGTGGTTCTCTTCTGTCAGCATATTTATAACATTGTCTGTGGTTCTAGGTGTGTGTCCCTCTGCTGCACTTCTGTTTCCCAGGGGTCAGTGAAATCCCCAGGGGTGGTGTCCCTGGTACCCCCAGCAGTAGAGGGGGTCGGTTCCCAGGGACCCTTGCTTCCCCAGGGGTACAGAGCAGAATAGGTGGGTAGCTGCTGATGTCAGGCTGAATACACATCTCTTTAACTTGGTCTTCACCACAATTTTACACTCTTTTTCATACTATTTTGAAAGTTTTTTTTTTAGAGGATAACAATCTTGGTATTTTAGTTTTTATGGGATTTTTATTGTCCTTAAAATTAAGAAAAGTGTATAGGAATTTTAAGATTTTTTGTAGATTTACCCATTATAAATGTGTTATTATTATTATTATCCTTAAGGTTTAAGCAGTCCAGTCACCCCCAAGCTAAGCCTCCAGGGCAGTGGGGGGACCAGTCCAGTCTTTGAAAGTTTACAGGTGACCGGGGCTGAAGTCTTGGCTCTTTTGATGGACAGAACTGGACAGGACAGCTCACTGGCCAGTGTCCACTATCACCTCAGTGAGTCCTGATTACTTCATGGGGGGCTTTTTTTAGTAACACTGGGAGAATGTTTTCTTTTCTTAAGAGCCATAGTTTATAGTGAGCCTATTGTTTTTTATGAAAGAAATCAAAATCAGCGAAACAGTGAGAAAGTTTGCTTTTTATCTCATCAATACAGTTTCAGCTGAAATGAAACTTTCAACTGGTATTTTTAGAGTCAGTGTTGGATAGAAGGGAGTTTGTGGTGCATGTATTTAAAATGTCTCATGTTCACAATCTTTGAATCTTGGTTTTGTTTCTCTCATATCAAGCATATTCAGTAACATGTCCAGCTTTATTTCAATGCATTGGATTTAAAGAAGAGCAATATATATATTATATGTTATATATATTCTATATATTCCTCTTTTTAGCTCCGCTATCAGTGGATGTCATTCCAGGACCATCATCCTTTGTCAAACATGGCGTAGTTCTTATTTCTGCTGTCAGGGATTGTATTGTTGAAGTAGGAAATAAGATTCAAGGTGATTTTCACTTTTCACAAATGGATAACTCTTCATTTGGTGGTGCTACATTTCATTTCAATTTTTAAAATAAATTCAATGAAGTTATGCATAAAAAACATCAAAATATTGAAGTTAATTACTCTCATCTTACTGCATAGCATATGTACAGCTGATGAAATTCTTTTTCTGACTATATCAAATCATTAAACAGTACAGTGGTACCAAGTACTTATGCAATGCCCATTACACCTTTATGTTGTAAAAAACTTAAAAGTATCTTAACTGGAAATTTCAACTCTTTTTGTTAATCACCCAGGTACAACAAATTAAAAACTCAAATTTCAACCCATAAACTAGTGAAATGAGCTTTCACAAATGTTTTCATGAGTATCAGTATTTGTACTTTGAAATATGAAGCATCTCATCCTATATCTGTGTTGCAGACTCTCTGTTACATCAGATCTGGCAGTCACTGGTCAGCCATGTTAACATGATGTTGGACACCACCAGTAAGAAGGACAACACAGACATCTTTGTCCACTTCTTGTCCAGTTTCAGACACATAGTGATCAGTGGAAGCCTGGACAAGGACAGCATGCTGGTCAGTGGCTATTACTGTAAAGGATGGAAAATATTTGATCAGTTTTGTTGAAATTTCTTTACAAACCTTTTGGATTCATTCAATATAAAGTCTAAAAGTTTAAAAATGTAATAAATACATAGGTCTTTAATCTATATTGAAGTCTTTTTTTTAGTCAATTAGAGCATAAGTAATACCTTTGGACCTGTCTCAAGTTTTAGTTATTAAAATTGATATGTAGATTTGGTTTTGCTCTAACATAATGGAAAGGCTTCTTCTTGGTCACTTTATAATTATGTTGTTTTGTTTCTTTACTTTATAGAAATGTTTCCAAGCTGTGATAAGTCTTCAGTCCAAGGTGCTAGGTTCACATGCCTATAATGTGGGGGATGCCATAGACATGCAGGTAAAATTTAAACACATATAAATACGTGTCAGCATTTTGAATCAGAGGTGTTACTTTACAACTGGTGTATTGTGTAGACAAGATTTTCTTGTTTTTTTTTTTGTCTGTTTATGTATAAAGGACAATTGTACAGCTGTAATTTATTGATCATGGAAGGCCATTTATTGTTGAAAGTTGTACCAATAAAACCCACTTTTAGTACAACTAACTTGATTTTGATGGATACATTCCACATTTGCCACATAAATACATCCCTTGCACTATTACTACCCCTCGTCTTTAATATCTCATGTTTTAACAGCTTGAAATAGTATCACAGCAGGCTATGTTATAGTTTTTCTTAGTGTGGGGAGAGGACAGGCAAAGTACAGCTGCCAGCATTAAGGATGTCAAAGAGGAAAATGGGCTTAAAAACAGCATGTAATTTTTTTTTTTTTCCTGATGATAGCTTTAATTGTATGACTGTATGATAAGGACTGTACACACATTTAGGCCATTCACATTAGAACGTTAACCGCGGTCGAGTTTACTCCGATTAAACCGTGGTCAACCAAACCGCGTCCAAACCGCGTTCACACTGACACCGGCAGCGATCAGTAGTGGTAGAATCTCAGCAAGTGTACTTCTTGTCAAGCATCCGCTCTTACTAGAATCTGTGCAACTTGGTGGGAGCTCAAATGACGATACACTTGTGTGCGTGCGCTTCATATGTAGACATCCGGTCTTGACCGCGGTCAGGAGTTTACTCCGATTATACCCACCTCCCGATCTGGGTTTACTTCGACTGCGGTCAGGGCATACATCGTCAGTTCACATTAGAAAAGTTAACCGCGATAAGGACTGAGGTCAGGACTTGACCGCGGTTAAAAGTGCTAGTGTGAATGGGGTAATTGATGGTACATGGTATTATATTTCAGGGAACTCCAGCTGGCTTCCTTCTCGGGGTCTTATTCACCTCGGAGCTCGTTGCCGTCTTTTCCCAAGATGAGCGTTTCATGACAATTGCTCATTCTCTCCTGGAGGCAGGAATGTCGAACACCACAGCAGTCCTGGGCTTTTGTCAGACAGTGCTGGGATTGGTGGAAAAAGCAGCCAATGAGATCAGTAATCCTGAGACAGTGTGGAGGCTGTGGAGTGCAGTGGTACACCCTCTCATGGATCACATACAACAGGTTTGTGTAGGAAATAGGTCAGGTCAAGGTCATGTAGGTCAAGGTCAAAGATTTTTGAGTTAGAAAATTACAACATAATGGAATAAAAGATTTAAAAAAAAAGAAAAATTGGGAGTAAATTTTTGAAAGTTGTCTTTTCTTTTGTAGACTTTCAAAGAAATATGGTAAGGAATCTGTCAAGTTGCTTCCATGTCAAAAAAAAAAAAAAACTAGATCTAATGGCTGTGTAAACCTTTACAGCTGGGCCATATACGCAGCATTGTTACTGCAAAGAAGTTGTTAAAACTAGAAGTTGACATATTTTCGTTGCAGACCAATGAGGTGAACCAGGGCGACGCATTGGAACATGACTTCAGCTGTATGTACTCAGCCCTGACTCTACCTGTGATACACCTGTTTAATACGGAACTCCCACAGGTAAGATATTCTAGTGTGGATGGAGGAAGAGGACAAATCTGATCTCTTACAGCAAGTCAAGAATTCTTCTCTGCCATAAGAAGTGTCAGAATATTATGATCAGTCTTTAAGTTTTTTTGAGCAGTAATTGCCTAATTATCCAGGACTGCTAATAGTAAAGGTATTGTTATTTGCTTTGTCCATATCTGTTTTGAGAGGACAAGATCTACCAAAACATTCTTCAAAAATTTGATGAAAATTTAAGGATATGCAATAATTATTAATATTTCAACTGAATCTGGTTCTGCTATTTCTAAAAGTGTATTTATTATTGTTTTGCTTGGTGGAGCTCTGTGTACCTAAAAACTCTGAAGTTTCGCCCTGTTTCTTCCAGCCGACCATGAAGACGCTGTTAAAGAGTTGGGAGGACCTCTACAGGAGATTTGCCAGGTTATCCGCGCTGGTCACCAACGCTGAGGCCAACATCTGCTGTGAAGAACTGTGCCATAAACTGCTGGTGATAATAATGGAAGATGAAATGGTAGGTTGATGTTTTTTCTTTACAAAATAGAAATCAGATACTAAATATAGAAGATATAAGAGGAAAATATATGCTATCTTAAATAAGTTTCTATTCATGGTAGCAAATAATTTCATAAGTATAAGAACGTGAGAGAAAAATAAATGAATTCTAGAATAAGGTTTTATTCATGGAGTCAGATATGTAGAAAGTGGGTGAATAGGATACAACTGTAGTCTAACATACTGATTGGGTCCATTTTATGCAAAGTTTGTTATACGTGTTCTTTGTCATTGAATAAGACTAGAACAGTCAAATTTAGTACATTAAAGGTGTGTCTTTATGCTGGACTGCTACATGCCAGGTTTGCCTTGTGGGTAATGTATAGAATAATTGTGTAGAATAAAGAATAACATACTTGCTTCGTATATAAATTATAGAATATGTAGAGGAAAAAAATAATTTCCCCTTCATTGTAGTAGTTCAATTCATAATAAAACATGCATGTAACTTTATAAATAATAAAATAAGTGTCTCCAGTGTTTCCTATTGTTCCTGTTCAGACTCCCCAGTGTCTTGACGCAGTGACACACCTGTGTCAGGTGATCACAGACTGCGTGGACTTCTCCTCGCTCACCTCTGTCTTGAACTTTGGAGCTGCACGTAAGTTTTGTTGTGGAGATATGGATAGAAAAGATGTCTACTTTAGATTTGAAATAATTTTCATTCAATATTGGTATGATTCTTGCAATTTGGATGTGAAAAATTTAGTTTATAACTAAATATTTATTTATAGGTTATATTTATACCAAAGTCTTTTGTTAAATATTGGGAATCAAAATTTGAAGTGAATGGATAGGATCAAATAATATGCAGTATTTTGTAGTAGATAGATTAGATAGTATGCAGAATTATGTAATAATTTTATAGATAGTAAAATAAGGCCCCCATTTTTTGAGAATTTAAAGAAGTGTTCCTTTTTGTGCTTCATGAAACTTCCATAGTTTATAAGGCCAGTGTAAAACCCTTGCTAAATTACAAAATATCCCAATGCCACAATTTTGATATTTCCAGTGGCGGTGAGTCCATCCAAGTGGCCGAAGAGAAAACCCAAACCCCTGGGGAATATCCACAGTCTGGTAAAGCTGGTTGGACGTCTGACCACCACTCTTCATGGACTGACTGATAGCACTGACAGACAGCTGGTGGGTCTTCTTTGGTGCTGAAGATGATTTTTAGACTTATTCTTGTTTACAGTAAATCTTTTCTTTAGAATGTGCTTCTGTGTAAAAAAAAAACATAGATTTATTGATTTTGGTAATTGTTGATGACAATAAGCATTGGCAATAATTGTAGGAGAACTTAAATTTTAGCATGGACTAAAAAAAATTTTGATGTTACTGTTACAGTGAGAATAATTAGTATAAAGGAAAATTAAGGAAGGATATGAAGATGAAAAAGATGTTAGCACTTTGAGTTTCTGGATACTTCTTTCTCTCAAAAGATGACCCAGCAGATGTATTGAAAATAAGTATGTAAGATTGAATGCTTGTGTATTTGTGTTGCTTCATCTTTTTCTGGAAACAGTTTCTGGTTAACAGAAATTAATTTATTTGACATGATGGTTTTTCCTTCAGGCAAGTCACCCCTCCCTAGCAACTACTGGTCACAACCTAGTGGCCATCTTGTCCATGCTGTTAACCCATGTTTCTACATCTGCCATGATCCCTGATATGATTGGTCGATTAGCTGGTCACATGGCAGAGTTTTACAGGCATGCTGGGAAGAGAGTGGGCTGCAAACTGTACACTGCTCAGTTTATGCAAAAGGTAAGGGTTGATTATATTGTTTTTTAAAAAATAGAAAAAAAACTTCACGGGTAGTGTAAATAAGTCTTATTTCTTGATGAAACAGACATTTATGAAGCTTATACCACTTCTTCATTGCCTATTATCAGTTTAAGTCTCTTCATTCATTCAAACTAATTTCTTTTAAATATTTTATCGTCTACAGTTGGAGAAGTTATGGTCAGACGTCACTGGTTGTGTACAGGGGCGCTACAGTGGGCCTTACGACTCTCACCTGCTGTCCACTCTAGCGCCATTACTGGAGGTCACCTTTCTGAACTCGCGGCGAGGAATCAAGAACCAGACTGTCTTGTTTTGGAATGCCACCTTTGCTCGTGCTGCCCCCCTGCAGTACCCTGAGGGTCTAAGGTGAGTTGGGTGTTCTCTGTGACAAGTCAGGCAGTTATGACATTGGTTTTAGTGTTATTCTGAAGGGTGGTCTTCCCTGGGGTGGGTGTCTTGGCACTGAATGATTACTAGGCTACTCTTGTTATTAGAGACAATACTGTGCACAGTGCATGTTAAAAATACTAAATGTTTTTCTTAGTGTAAGCTTCATAGATTTCTTTTAATTGATTGGTTGGAAGATTGATTAATTTATTCATTGCTTCAGGCAGATTCTTTTTTTGGTTCTATAAACATCATTGTGAAAGTTTATTTGTTGAAGTAATAAGACATTTTAGACAGATACAGTATTTTCTTTCCCTGGATATATTGTTCACAATCTAACTTTCAGTACAAAAAGAGGAATTAAAACAGTTTGAAACTTTGTTCTTGGACTGAAAACATGTTTAACAGGACAGAGCATGACTGAAGAAAATTTGTATTAATTTGTATTAACATTGACGTATCTTGCAGACCCGTCCTGGCCAAGGTGAAGGAGAAGACTTCAGTGTTGTTACCAGGCTGGGACAGTGTGGAGATTACGGTACTGGAGGAGACGCCTGTCAGCCAGATGACACAGGTGGGTAACATGGCGTATGCCATCAGACGGTGGCACGCAAAGTTCAGGTTTTTGGGACTTAGACCCCATTCCCAGAGATTAGATCGATCCAACTAGATCGACCTTACTCCCTGGAGGTTCACGCTAAATAGCTGTCAGTCGAGCGGGCACGAAAGTTATTTTTCCCCCTTACAGCTTGTAGTTGGTGGGACGGACATTTAAGCCAGATTATCTGACAGTTATCTAGTGAGACTCCCCACGGGGATAGATGGATCTAAAATCTGTGGGAATGCACCCTTTTAGTGCCAGAGGTGTTTTTACTGCAATAGGCAGACATATTGGCAGATGGTGCAGCAAAAATAGAATGGATAATGACATTAAAAAAAAAAAGAAAAATGGAAGAAAAAATTGCTCATTTGTTTCCACTATCCAGAAATCTAATAACAATGTTTATTCTCTCTAGGGAGAATCTCTCGCTCCCCTTCCCACAGTGCCTGGCATGCCATCACCATACAAGGTGCGGGGAAGTTTTCTGAACAAACCCGAGTCCCCCTTTAAGTCTCCAGTAAAGCCCCAGACCCCAGAGAAGAAAGAGTCCCCCGCCAGGGTGAGGAGGAAGCTGGAGGTACCTGTCCAGAACATGAGAGATGATGTAAGTATATGATACAACTAGACAGCTCTGGAGGGACATAGAACTCTGCCAAGAATAAAGCAAATACTGAAAGCAAAATTCTTTTTAATATTCAGATGACCTGGGTTTAAATAAAATTGCAGTCACTTCTTTCCCCTTGAATAACTGTATATCCTGAAAAATCCATGAAAATTGGTGAAAACAAAATGTCTACTATGATTATCATAATAATAATATTGATAATTGAAAGGCTCATAGCTTCTTGTTTCACATTTAATTTATTCAATCTCATGATTTAATTGTGTTAAGTTAACAAATATTTCCTTTATTTTCTCCCCCAGGAGTTTGTTGTAATTCCACCAGAGCCCAAAAAGAAGATGGTGCTGACAGAACATCAGAAGGAGATCCTTAGAGAGAAAAGGTAGACATTATCAAAGAAAATATACAATTCAAGTATTTGTTAAGCTCTTTAAACCTTGATTGACAAAACAAATAAATAACATAAAATTAAAATTTAAAAACTTGCAAATAAAAGCTTTGTTTGACAAAGCGTTTGTCAGTGAGAAAAATTATGAAAAGGGTTTAGAGTTTTAACTTTTCTATTGTCTGTATCTCCCTTTATAGTTACTAAAAATAACAGAAACTAAGAGAGCTCAAAAACAAGTTAATGGATCATATTCTGTAAATGATATTGGTCATTATGTACCTTGATTAGGGAAAAATGTGTTGAAATTTCTTGGGAAATGAAATTTTTGTTACATAAAAATCAAACACTACATTTCCTTCTGTCCTCCACAAGTTTTGTTTAAAACTAATGAATGAAGATGAAAAATATCTTGACCTCTTATGATCTTTTGCTTCACTTATATTTTAAAAGTGTTACAGTAATAATGTTTAGGCTTTAAGATATAAATAATAATAATAATAATAATAATAAAACAATACAGAAACTCCACTTTATCCAAATCAACACTGACCATAAAAATGAAATAATTTTTATTTTCTTTCTCTCCAGCACCCTGCCTGCCATGTACAGTAGCTTGGACCAGTCCCAAGACACCAACATGTTCAGAAACCTCTACGACACCGACTCTCAGATGGCGTAAGTGCTCTTTTACTTTATAGAAATATCTGGTGCATTTTGGACATAAAAGGATACGAAATTTAAATTCTTGTGTGCATACTTGGTAAAGAAGATGGGAAGTTTTTGGGGAGGGAAATCTTGTGGCGACAAAGTTTAAGTAGTAATCTAATGGTACTGAAGTTAGAAATGGATGGAAAGTATTTTTGAGTCTTATTAAAAAAATTACTTTTTTATAGTTGGGAGATAATTTCTTTAATGATTTAAAGGAAATTTTTTTTATAATATTCACTTGTCAGATTAACCAAATGGAAATCTTTCGAGGAATGTTTAACATTTTAAGTTATGATTATGACCAATATTTTCCCTATTTTCCCCAGGTCCCAGTCCCAGATGCTTCCCAGCCAGCCATTTGTGCCTGTCATGGCTGACCTCAAGAGAGCAGTGACATCTATGGTTGAAAATAAAAGTAACTTGAAGAAAAATGAAACTGGCATGAGCAAACCTGCCGGTGATGAGGGCAGAAGAAAGTCAGTTCGGTTCTTTCAACAGAAGGATTCAGAGGAGAGTCAGACAGCAGAAAGTGGTGTTAGTGGAGACAGAAGTGATGAACACACGAAGGAGGTCGGAGATACGTCCAACCAAACCAGGTCGTTTGAGGCTGTTTTTACTGAGGTGAAAGTTAAGGAAGGTGAGGGCGAAACTTCAAAAGGCTTGGACTCCTGTGAAGAAGTAGTCCAGTTAACACAGAGTCAGCAGAGCCAGTCTTTGCTTTCTACTCCCACTAAAATGAGCCAATCACCATCAAGGTCAAGGTCGATTGAAAGGACTAGCCAGTCACCTTCAACTCCAAGGAGGTCAAGGTCAAAGAATAGTAAATCCCCAGCTAAAAGAAAACCTGTGACAAACCTCAAGGAGAGTATAGATAAATGGATAGTGAAGTCACCACGAAAGACAAATACTGAAGAACACACCAAGACTGTCACTTTAGTCGAGGAAACACAATCACCAACTAAATTTTCTAAAAGGAAAGAAGCTCAATATTTGACTGTACCATCATCTGAGAGCATCATTCTTGAAACCCCTGAAAAGTTAGATGAAGAACAAAACGAAATTAATTCTAATGCAGAAAAAGCTTCTCAAAATTTATTCAGTGCAAGCTGTGAGAATCCCATATCAGACACTCCTGAGAACTCCTGCTCCCCCCAGTCCACCCCTGTCAAATTTTCACCATTGACCAAAGAAAAAGTGGTGAAACTGATGAGCACGCCAGTGATCAAGATAAAAAAATTGACACAAGAAGAGATAGGACAGTTTAATCCAAGTGCAAAATGTCTTGCCTTGTCAAAGGAAAAAAATGCAGATTCTCAAGAGATATCAGAGCCCGTTATAATAATTTCCCCTACAGATGTCTCTAGTAGTTGTCCTCAAGAGGAGCCCAAGTTCCAGAGTGTGCAGCAAGACGAGCCAGACCATGAGAAAAAGGGAAGAAGGAAAAGTGGACGCCCTGTTAAGAAGACAACAAAACTGACAACAGATCCATCAGATGAATCCAAGGTGGGACAGAGGGAATCAAAAAAGAACTCCGGTGTTAGTTCTAATAATGTACTGGAACCAAAGCAAGGAGAGACAGACAGTGAAAGTGTGGAATTTTTACAGGCTTCAGTTCGGAAAAGTGGCAGAGTACGAAAATCCAAATCCCAACTTGATGAAGAAACAAAGAAAAGAAAGGAATCTGAGGAAAAATTTTCTGAAGTAAATTCCTTAGATGTTTTATCAGTAGACACTGGTGGCAAAAACACCATGGAGAATAATGAAAATAAAGAAGATGTGAATGGTGAAAACAAAAAAGATAAAAATTCAAGCCTCTCAGATATATTTTCCTCTGAAAATGAAGAAATGTCACCCAAATTGTTAAAGAATTCAAAGTTCACAGACAGTGACAGTCAAATTGACCAATGTGAACAGTCATCAGGTGCATCTGTCACAGAAATATCAGACGACAAATGTGGCGAACCAACACCTGGACAGAAAAATGAAAATATGATGGAAATTCTGCAGGATGTGGAAGACTCTCAGGTGGAGGAAGAAAATGGCAGTGACGATGATGATGATGAGATTCCTCTTGCTTCTTATCTAAATAATGATCTTACGTCATCTAATTTGAGCAATGCAAAGAATTCTGGGACAAATATGGCAGACAATGAGGAAGAGGTGGCTCCTTCGTGTGGACCTGAACTTGTGTGCACCTTAGCATCAGATGCTGAATTAAGTGAAAATCAGAGGGGCAAAAAAAGGAAGAGAGGTAGACCAAAGAAACTGATTTCTCAGTCCCAAAGCTCAAAGTCGGATGTCTGCAGTGGTGAGGGAGAGAACGATCTCCCCATCTGGCCCAGTGGCCAAATTTCCTTAGTTTCCAAGTCCAGCGATGTTGAAAATGGCGATGATGGGGAAGGAGCAGCTGAGCGTCTGCTTCAGTCCACTCTCGTCTCTCAGAGCGAAGATGCTGACGGTTCCACTCCAGTTACAAACCAGGACACGACGCAAGACGGCACAGTGCATGAGGAGTCCAGCAAAGCATCTGACATCATAGACTCAGTAGATAAGATGTCTGCAGAGGAAGATAAGATTGGAGCTGGAGATGTTGAACAAAGTCCAGAGTATGATGAGGAGAAAGAGGAGAAAGCCATTAAAGCAGAATCTTTAAAGGAAAATGAAGAAAGTCAAAATGAGATAGGCAGGAAAGGAGGAAAAAGAAGACCTGTAATCAAAGCTAGAAATAAAAAGAAGGCAAAGTTGCTTGAAAGGACTGTAAGGAAAAATGCTGAAAATGAAGACATGATTTCTGCGGCGGATAAACCTAAGCCTTCAGGTGAAGAAACAAAAACTTCTGAAAAACTAAACCAGGAAATCGATCACAAAACTGAGGCAGAGCAGACACCGGAGTTAACTAAAAATTCAGGGAAGCCACCAGTGAGAGAAAGCACCACCAAGTTGAAGAAAATGCAAGCGACACAGAAAAATTCCCAGAAAATTTCAAAAGGCAAGAAGGAGCAATCCTGCACCACTAATACAGTTGTTACAGCAGATAAGGGGCTAAATGTATCTTTTGATTCAGATGATGATGTGCCGCTAGGATTACTTCCAGAGTTGCAAAAGTCCGGTGATGCAAAAGTAGCAGACGTCATTTCAAATCCTCCTCTGTCTTCTTGTGAAAAGGAGGAAGAAAATGAACCCCAGCAAAATTCCTGCGCTGATATGTTCATTGATGACAAGGCAGTTGTGCAAACAACCCCTCCGTCCAGTCGGAAGTCCAGAAGACCAGGGTCGTCGCAGGAAGCAGAATTGAGGAAATTGGAAATTGATATGAAGTCCCCAAAGAGACTGCGCTCAAAGAAGTCTATATTCCGCAGGTCGCCTATGAATAGATCACTGGGTATGGCTTTGAGCATTGCAAGGAAGAAAAAATCACCTGACCAGACCCCTTCAAAAAAGAGGAGAAAGGTTTCCCATGGTGAAAATTCTGAAGAAACTCCAAAAGGTGAACAGTCACTGCCATTGACAGATTCTGCAGAAGCTCCGTTATTAGAGGAAAAGGGTCCAGATTCAGAACTGAGTAACCATGACAACTTGCCAGAGCCAGGCTCACCAGAGCAGCAGTTGGGAAGTTTACCCAATTCTTCCAGTTTGCAAGAAACCCCCAGGTCAGCCATGAAACCATTTTCTAGGTCATCTGCAAATGACCTTGTAACACAGCGATTGGTCAGGACAGACCCTGTCAAGTTGGTCAGTTTTCGGCATCCTACTTTAGCGAGAAGGAAACGTCTTCTCCTGGGCAGGAAGAGAGAGGATCTTCCTGTGGCTCATCATAAGGAGGATAAAATGGAAGCTCTGAACCGGAGCATTAAGAAAGCATACCAGAAAGACTCACAGAAAAATTCTGACACCGAGAACATGTCAGAAGCCAGAAGTTCACCGCCTTGTTCCAAGATGGCTGCCTCCAATGGAAGCCCAGTGAGCTCATTCCAGGCACTACGTGTGCTCCAAGTTTACTCTCCCTCGGCTTCTCCAAGTGCAGGGATATTGAAGAAGCGGCGTCTGAGTGGTGACATTGGTGGTGACTCCCCTGCTTCACCTCCTGATAAGGTAAGGATGAAATAAAATAGAGGGCTCCTTCTTTCATTAGCCATTATTTGATTTTTTCTTTTTAGATTTGTGAGAAATGAGTAAATTATTTGATCAAGGGGAGGAAATGAAGTTTTTGTTACATAAGCAGTAATACATTTTTACTATTTTGTCTGGAAAAAATAATGTCATTTTGTTTAGGCTTTCCTATTGATATTTTAAGGTTTTTTCTACATATATGGAGAAATAAATTCTAACCTCTTTTTATTTTGCCATTAGCAAAGACGGGTGTCATTCGCAGAACCAATCGAGGAAGCAGAGAATGCAAAGTCAGGGTCACTGTCACCAGCAAAACCAGTGAACCGCACCCTAGACTTGACCAAGGGCATCCAGTTTGCACCGTCACCACTGGTAACTACAACCCCTTCCAAAGTGACAGCAGCACAAAACAAGGTGAGCCAGAGATAGTGAATTGGAGAATATAGAAAATGTGCAGGATAGATATTTAAATCAAATTAAATTCACAAGAGGTGACCTTACAAAACTTGACAAAAACAAAAAAGTTGAGAAAATAATTTGATCAAAGAGAGTATTTGCAGTTTTTCTTAGGTTTTATAAAGAAATTGTTCATCATAAATACTGCTGATGCTTTTCATTAAAATTTTACTCGGTCCAACTTAATAAAAGTTGTTTGATGTGTATTATATCTCAGTCTGCAGCTTTAAGAAATGAACACTGATCTGAATAAATGATACCAATGTTCTGATCAGTAAGAAAAGTCTGTTGTATTTTAGTTTCTCACCACACCTTCTAGAAGTGGGGTTGAAGATCAGTGTAAAACCAGCCCTAGTGAAGAAGGAAAGGTAAAGAAAACTACTGTTATTTATATAAAGAAAGCTGCACAATTGTCATAATTAGTAGTCAATTAGTGGTTTACTCATCACCATACCCTCAGAGAAGAATTTCATCAGCTTTGTTATGTCATAAGAATAAAGCAATTTTTTCTTCAGTCAACAGCTAAATATGGAAATTGTTTACCTTCAATATTTTGATGTTTTTCAGGTCATCTTCATCAATACCTTATTTTGCCCAAATTAGTCCATTTCTGACCTATCCTGAAAATTTTATCAGAATCTCCTGATTGGGATGTTTTGTTTCTTTGTTTGTTAAAATTTCTCTCAGTTTAACCCAAAATATATATTAACTAAACAAGGGTATTTATTGGTTCATTTTAGAAGTTCACTCAGCTGACACCCTCTCAGAACAGCTATCACAGTACCCAGGAGTCTCAGTTGAACAGCCGCGACCCCGTCTACCCTGACCTGGTGGAGTGTACCACACCAGTGGAGAAAGTCCTGCCACAACTTACCTCTTCTATGTGGTAAGAGGAGGATTTAGAACCATCTTAAAACTTTGATTCTCTCTCTCTCTCTCTTTCTCATTTCAGCAAAGATGGAATTGCTGGGTGTACTTGTCTTGATATAAACTTATCCTTAATAAATTACCAATATGTATTGTCTAATGTTGAGCTAAGTTCTGAATATCTGAATATAGGTCTTAATTTTGATAATAGGTCAAAGTTTAGTATGTTTGTGTGCAACTGGGATCAAAGTTGCACTAATTTTTTGCTTTGCATTATTCATTGTCAAATTGTTGATGATAGCAAATGAAATAGTTGTAATTTATCTAGCCAGAATAGTTCTCTGATGTTTTTCTTTAGTCTTTGAGGTCTGACACAGTGAATTTAACAGCAGACACAGTATAGTTAACTGGTCATTTTTTTCTCGTCCTTCAGGTCCAGAGGTCTGGGTCAGTTGGTACGCGCCAGGAACATCCACACAGTGGGTCATCTGTGTAAACTGACCGAGGTGGACATCCAGAGTCTGCCCATCCAGTCACCCAAGGTCCCCACCGTCCGCAGGGTGCTGGAGCAGTTTGAGACCGAACAGGAGAACAGAAAGATGAGGGAGAGCGAACAGACCAGGAAAGACGGAGAGAAAGAGACGGAGAAGTTCACGCAAATGGCTGCCAGGGAGAATGAAGGTGAAATATTTTGATTATTATTGATATTAGTTTCTTGTGAGTTTTTTAATACATGAAGTAAGTAGAGTCATGGTGATGTTTTGTACATAATTCAGTGCAAGTGAAACTAAAAAGAAAGCTAAATCTGCAAATCTTTTCTGGTTAACAGCTCTGTGACTTTTAATAGCAGAATTGAATTGGTATAATAAGTTGCATTATAGTGAGAAAAAGTCTGTGTCATAGTAAGAAAATGTTTTTATCATGTTTTGGTACATTACCAAAGAAAAGACTGTGAAACAAAATGAAAGTTTGAATTGAAAATGATATATAATTTACCAATTTTCAGAAGATGACGATGAGTCCCATGTGGCGCCAGACTCCCCAAAGTGTTCTTCACCTGCAGGGAATAAGCTGCCTGCACTGGAAGATGTCATGGAGAACCTGTCACCAAAGAAATGTTAGTATGCACAAAGTTGTTTCTTTACTGACTGTTATGTATTTATTTATGCATTCATTCATTTATTTAATAAGCTTAGCCATTGTTGGGTAAAATCAGATTTTAAAGTCACTCAATAGAGGATAGTTGAATATAGTGCATCTTGAGTTTTTTTTTTTTTTTATTATTTACAAGTATTATAAATTCCAATATAGATGCAAGCATGAATTTTCAAGAAAATGAGAGTAAGCTTTTTAATGTGTTGGTTAAAGAGAAAATGTACCTTTTACAGCGTCAATTCGAGATCAGTTGGAGAGTAGCTTCGAGGCTATGTTGGAGAGTTCTGGAAACATAATGGCCGAAATCACAAAACTGTCCCAGTCGTGTAGTCAGGGCAACCAGGAATTGAGCCAGTCAGAGCAGCCAGATTTAAACAGTGCTGAAAAAACTCAGGACAACGAAGAACCCAGTTGTTCACAGCAGGAATTAGACTCAGCAAAACACATTTTGGAGACTCTGGGAACTTTGACCACAGAAATGACCCCCGAGATGTTGACAAGGTTGCCTAGTGACCAGATATTTACAGCGCACCAGCATCTGAGTCATTTGATGGTTACTGTGGTCCAGGCTCTTAAAGCTAAGTGTCAGTCATCAACTTTCACGTGACTGTCATTCTGATAATGTCTATTTTGGACTGTCACTTTTATGAGTGACATTCATATCATGTTTTCATCAATGTCACACAGTGACTGACAGATGCATGACAAGGTTGTTAAATATTTGTGATTTATTTGTTAAAGAGATGGGTTCAATTTGTGAACTTTTTGAGGTGCCTTTTTAAATTAAAATTAAAAAAAATCATATTTATAATAAGTGAAGATTGCTTGTACTCCTTGATTTTTCATACATAAGCTCCTAACATAATATAGCAGTCATGATATTTTCCATTTGTCAGCAACTTATGTTTTGTTGTTTAGGGTCATTTTAATATGATTTTGAAACTAATGTTGTCCAAATGGAACTTTTTAAAATGCTTTCAACGTGTTTAATGCATTGAATACTATGATTGCTGGGATGAATTTTAAATATGTTATGAAAAAGACTCATGACGGCTTTTATGTATTAAGGTGGACACTGCTTTGTGATTGATGTTGATTTACAGCAGTTTTTAATGGTGGAAGGAAAACTGCTACTCAACAGATCTTTCCTGACTGATAATGTTATGGTTTTATGCAAATAAATTAACACATTTTTATATTTATTCTGTAATTTCTGATATGATTAATTAGCTGTTTTTATCGAGAACAAGACAGTCTGTGATGTCATAAAATGGCAAGAAGGAATGCAAAATGGAGGTATTTCCAGACTAATGGATTTCTTCGAGAAAATCATCTTTGTTTATTTTAAAACACAAAAAAAAAAAATGACTAATTACTTCCGATTTTGTTCCGTGGAATACTGCTAAAAACCCTATATTTGAATATTTGCTGTAACTTCTTTGTTCTTTCTCCCACGTATTGCTGATACTAGATTTGTTATTGGCCAGATGTGATTCTTCTGACATTTTCATCACTAATGAATTAATTGTACCACCAGCGTTAGCGCTGGCGGTACACATGGTTTCGGTCCCGTCCGGATCGTTCCGCCGGCTCCGCCGGACGGCTACCGTTACCGCTTCTCCTCCTAGACGGTAAGGGCCCCCGTACCCATCTCATGGATTTAGGTCACCTATAAACTCAACTCGTTCCATGTAAAATTTGGGCTTTGTCGGTATTGGGGTCTGGGTGTGGCACTCATTACAATGCACCCTTGTCTAAAAATGGCAAAATTAAATGCTAATTATCTACCCTATGGAAGGAGTTATGGGAAAAATTTCTATAGACGGCTTTCCAAAAGTCATATGTGTAGATTTCAAATATACCCTTGGATTTGACCTTTGACCTTTACTTCAAGGTCAAATGGGCCAAAATTTTTAAAAAAATGAAATTTTTTACGAAAAAAATTTTTTTTGCCCTGTTATTCAGACACCACACAGACTTAACCAATAATATTATTGAAAAGTGTTACCCTTCAGGTCATCTTTCATCTCCATGAATTAGGGGTCAATCGGTGCATTTTCACGGGAGTAGCGGCCATAAGATACCGAAACTGAAAACTGTCTCTAATTCCGGAACTGTTAATGCTAGAGACCCATTCTTTTTTGCATTTTGTAGAGCATGTAAAGCCCAACACTGGATGTGGTCTCGGTTTTTTTGAATNAAAAGTAAAACAGGGCTGTATAAAAGGTTTCCCCAGCTCACCCACTCCCCAGGAGTAAAAAATTTTTTATCCTGGAAAAATTATTCTTGGAAGGGTAATGGAATACATCTGGCTACCTAATCCATCCATGATATGAAAGATAGTCATCCATCATCAGTAGATTAAAAAGAAACATGACGCTGATAAAGAAAGGAAATGTGCCTGTTGGGAAATGTGTATTGATGGAGAAATACAAGAAGGCGGAATTGCATTTCCTCTCCTGCTTTGTTGAGGTGGCTTCTTGCAGCTCTGTTCATCTTTACACCAATAGAATTACAACTGGAGTGGTTTCACAAAAAAAAAAAAAAGGATAAAAATATATAATGATGATACATATAAACGACACTTAAATCTCCAAGATTAAAATTTGGGTCAACCTCATTGCTGGATATGTGTGAAATAAACCACTGTTGTAAATAATCAAACATTAAGCAAAAACTATTGGCTGCTTAGGGACCATTCCCAGACCTTACCATACTAACTGTGAATTGGTCTATCTCAGAGGTGATTTTTGCTAAATTGCAATCAACTTAAGTGGCTTAGATGTCTGTCACACCTGCTAGGGGATAATTACCGTTTAAGCTGAAAGCAATTTAGCGAGAAACCTCTTGGAGATGATCGATCCTGTTAGAATGATCTAGGTATGGGAACCCAGCCTTGTAAGTCCTTTTCTATCGAAGGTCATGGTATCAGCCATGGGGAAACTGCCGTTTTGACCTGAATAGACTCCATACATAAATTTTGATTTCAGATCCTCTGGGCCAGCAAGGTTTTTATAATGGAAATGCAACACATAAAAATGAATCATATGTAAACATCGAGTAATGAACCTGCACAAAAATGGGACCAGCAGATTTCTCGTAGTACAGGTCCTACAGACCATAAGAACCTCCAAAGTTCACCCCGTCTGTAGAATAGATTGAATATTTTGATCTAAAAGTTGAGACCCGCTTTCAGTATGAAGTCTGTGAACTGGAAAACAAAAAGACGTCAGTACAGGCACCTGTATGATCCTTGCATTAAGAGAGTGGCACAGTTAAGCAGGAGTGGCCCCTGTTCAATAAGAGAGGACACAGGCACAGCAGGGTGGCGCTCTGTTGCAATTTGTTCTATAGAGTTTCTTGGAATTGGTGTTAATGTGCACAAGATGGCCGCTGATTGCCACAGATTGGTTGGTAACGGTCATGAGGCTCCCAGTTGAGCTGATGGTTACACAGAATCCCAGTATCTGTCTGTTATTTACAATCCAGATATAGACCATAATGTTGTAAATAGAGTCTCAGATGAGATGTGATGGTGAATATAAACTTAAGCTTTAAAGGTCATGTGGCTAGTTAAGGAGAATTAATTCTGTTTGATCTTTAATTGGAGATGCAATGTAGTAGGCTGCGCACTGACTCTATGAGTGTATTCACAATAAAACTAACATCCAAGGTAGTTCGAGCTAACTCTGCTGGCATTCTCGCTGAATGCAATCAGATAAACAGTGATATTAACATGTCTCTTCTTGACATGGAGTAGAATACAAGGGAGCTGGTGGGGGCCGTAGCAATAGTCCGAAGGTTCAATAGTCCCAAGGTTCATTGGACCGAATATTCACTATAGAACCTTCGGACCAATGAACCCTTGATTTAAAAATCGATGAAAATGTTACCACTTTTCGGACCGATGAACCTTCGGACTATCGAGACGCCCCCAGCTGGTGATTATGCAAGTATGTTAGAAACAAGGTATGTCAATGCCTTCATCTGATTACATTCAGTTAGAATCCCTGCAGAGTTTGATCGAAGTACCTATGATCATACCTTCATTGTGAACACACCCTTTAGCTGAGAGTTAAGGAGAAGTATTATTTTTACCCGGGTGCTCTCCATGGTATTTCAACTGTGAGCAGAGAGACATTGATTTCTTGGTGGGTGGCAGATAACTATTAGAACAGATGCAATCTTCTTTTTTTGCACCAGGAAACTCCTCAGAGATAAACCAGAACATTGATTTCACAGAAATATCTATTCTGAACATTGGCGAGTTTATAGTTGATTTAGGTGGGCTTAACTCATCTGATTTTGATTACAATATTTATGCAATGGAAACATTGTCTAATTGTGAATACTTTAATTGCCTTAATTTAAATGACCACGCTAGGTTATAGAGGAAATATATTATGCTTCATTAACTCTGGGGACCAGGTATGGCCATCATGCTGTTGACACCACCATAGCAAACGTCTCATTTTGATGCATTAACCTTGGAAACCAGCTCCTACTGTCTGGCAGTAATGTTTACGTGATTCAATTTGTGAACATTTTTTGCAACTGAAAATTTAATGTGACTTTATTCCTCCAACATTTAGCCTTAATCTAATTTTTAGTACCAGAAAGTAAATGGATATACTCTTATAAATGAACCAAATGAATTACCAATGACTAAAAAGAAAAAAAGAAAAAAAAGAAAAAAGAAAAACAGTCAATTTCCCTCAAAGAATTACCAAGTCACTGTTATTTCAACCACCTTAGAAAACTGTCCACATTAGCTTATCCAGTTAGTCAATATTTTTCTGAAAATTTCCATTTTTCCGCTGACAGGATACCAATTATCTGAGGACTCCTGGGATTCGTCTGCTTCAGAGAATTGATCTCTGCGTACTTTGTTGCAATTTCCACGTAATTCTCGAGAGGATAATATTCCAGATCACGCAATTGTCGGCGTTGCACTGAGAACCAAGGAAATCTATGACAGCAACGCCGGTGGCTTAAGTGCAATCCATGCAGCTATGCTTTAACTATAATATTCCGTTTAAAATGCCCATAGAATATATGGTATTATTGTATTTGAATGTCAGCTGTTATGAGTCTCCTTAAGACTTTTATTTCCAGTGTTCAACAGTCTGGCTGTCTGTTGATGTCTGATCCTGGTTGATCCTGATTTGCATTCTGTTTGGCATTAGCATGACTTCACAAGTATGAACCTAAAGTATCCGTCTCTGTGACCCAGAGCAACATGGCAGCATCTTTATGAACTTGAATTCTTTGTGTCGAAACCAGAACTTGTGTATCAAAAGGATCTTTTTCATCCATGTTTCCCTGCACATACTAAAGTTACTGATACAGTAGCCAAAAAGTGAAGGCCTTCTTGAATAAAGAGATCGCTTTTAACTGTTTATTATGTGTTCTTGATTTAAGTCAAAATATTCCAAAGCAAAGACTACTAAGAATATAAGCCAACTAGAAGGTATTTAACAAAGAATGCACAACTAAATGGCTGCATACTTCCTTTTTTTTTTTTTTTTTTTTGTTACACTTCAGTGCACTAGCCCATTGACATTGATTTTGCTGCCGTGGTTTCCATACGGTAAGTCAACTACATCTTTGGACTAATTTTTTTAAATGCACTATAACCAACATTGCAAAATCCACTTAGCATATTAAATTGCCCACTGGGTTAAGCAGTCTATGCTAATTATCTCCAAAAATCTTGAGACTAAATTTTTTGAGACAGACCCTTTGGGGTCCAAGCTTTGTACGTGTTCCCTCGTTCTTGGAGACTGTTACATATTATAGGATGGTACTATGGCATAGAACTGAAAAGATTTAACAATGGACAGTGTATTTGGCATCCATTGCAGGGCAGGCTTAAGTACAAGTCACACTACATGTATCTCTGAACCTTTTGTATTCTACATATTATAATATGATGTGGTATAACTGAGATACCCATCAGTTGGCAAAGTGTATGTGACATGTACCCAAGCTTTGCACTCTGATATATATGTCACAACCACCTGACTTGCTTGTGGTGTATCTATTACCAATCAAGGATTGATCTATCTCCAAGGGGATTCTTGCTAAATTGCAATCGACTTAAGCTGCTTATAGGTCTGTCACACCTACTGAAGCTGATAAGGGGTAATTAATTATCATTTAGCAGCTTCAGTAGGCGTGACAGACATCTAAGCCACTTAAGCTGAAAGCAATAGAGCGAGAAACCCCTCAGAGATGTATCGATCTGTTAGATCAATCTAGGTATGGGAACCCAGCCATAGAGACAAAAGTAGTCTTGTTTTTTCCCTAGTTCCAGAAATTTGAGTGTAGTATTTATGGATTATGCCAACAATTACATCAGTGCCTGCCATTTATACATGCATGTGAACTACAAGGTTGCATTTGTACTTTTTTTGTGATAACCCAAAAGGACTACAATATTTTTGAGAAAATCAATATTTCATTTTCACTCATTGTCACAAGTATCTAATTGCATTTCCAGAAACAAGATCCAGCAAGCCAAGTCAAAATACAATAAAAAAGTGAGTATCTCTGCACTGCTAAAATATTAATATTTATTGGGTCTGAGACATAAGAGATTTGTGTTTTGGGACTGAAAGAATTGTGCAAAATCAATATGATACTGTGCGCAGACTAACAATGAAGTCCCTGGACTATTAACTGCTGGCATCAGCGTGATCATGTATTAAGACCAGTTAGTCTCTAGCTAATTAATAATTTGGATGATAAATTGATGCGGGTACATTTTCAATTTCATTGCATTAATTGTTATTATTATTTTTTTACTTGCGTGCAAAACCTGGATTATAAAGAGTCTGGTTTCAGGAGTCGCGTAACAAAAGAAGGTAAGTTTGATAAGGGGCCGTAGAATATTATATGCCGGGGTAAGCAATTACATGATTATTATAATAGAAAAATTAGAGATCACGGCTCACAGAAGACTCACAGAAAATAAAATCGAAATCACAAATTTAAAAAACATTACGTAACAATAAGTAAATATCAACCATCATTTGCTTTATTATTCAGAGAGTCATGTTATATAACAGGCCTGTAGCCAGCAATTTCAAAAGGGGAGTTCTTTTTCTGAAAAAGTGGACCTTTTACCATAAAACTTCATGTACCTAGATCAAATTTTACCCAGAGTGGACCTTTTCAAAGCAAAAAGGGCGCTTTTTCTAACCCCTTAACACCCCCTGGCTACGGTCCTGTATAATAAAACTTTTTATGGATACGTAAAGGAGAGTAGATTTTGCTAAGCACAGGTAGAAGATTAACTCCTCTCCCTGATACATCCACAACCAGTGGCATGGCTTCATAATGTCCACCCCACCCCCACCCCCAACACCCCCTATGTGTAGTAAAATTAACAAAAAAAAAAATAAGGGGACCTAGGAGAAAAGGGTGTGTGTGGGGGGGGGGGGGGGGTCACTGGGGGGGGGGGGCTGGGGTCACAGTCTGTCTTCATTCTTGCGTTCTGGGGGGGGGGGCATTAAGTGATTCATTGTTCATCATAATATTTTTATGACTTGTGACAAGAAGTCAATTCAAACATTTGTGACTTCATTTTTAAGCATTATTTTCTGAAGACTAAGTCAATTGCACTTTTCTTGTTATATCATCACTCATTGTTCATCCTTTCCTCCCTCCATCCCTCCTCCCCCTCCAAAAAATGAATCAAACAAATTGCCTTAAAAAGCTATTATCCCAGCTACAGTTTCTGAGTTATCAATATTCCCCGTCCTCAAATGTCACCTCAGAGACCTGCAGGTGCCCAGTGACATGGATACCCAACTTTGTGAGGGCCACAAAGCTGTATATTCAATATCACTGGTATCTTAAGCAGAGATGAGACTTCATTGAGAAGGCAGGAAGCAGCCGAGAGAAAAGCAGAAAAGATTTCTGTATTTTGTTCAGTATATCTAAGAACAGAGGAAAGCAGCAGAGGTTTCTGGATTTTGTTCACTTTATGTATAAGGACAGAATTCAGGGAGAGCTGCTAGAACAGAAACCAAAAGAGGTGGGTGACTACAAAGCATAGAACACAGGCCACAGACTGTTTTAAAAAACTGGTGAACATGTGAGAGAAATAAACACTGGAGAAGATTCTGTATGACAAGATGATTTGATTTCTGTATTAAATAGAGAAAAAAAAGGCAAGGCGGCACAAGTGGTGGTTATAAGACACTGAATATGCAGTCAATTCTCTACAAGTGTCAGTGAAAACCTCTCAGAAAATTCACAGGACATTGTTGGTTTGCAGCAGGTAAGATGGTTTATATAACTATGTGCTTGCTTGTGTGCATGTGTGTGTGTGTGTGTGTTGTGTGCTTGCATATGTGCGTATGTTTGGTGAGGGTTAAACTGTTTCACTAAGACAAAGTTGGTGAATATGCCGGATTTCTGAATTTTTTGTTTCATTTTGAGAAATTTTAGAGGGGGATGGTGTGGTTCCAGTCAGATTGTAGTGAATGATAAAACCTTGTAACTGTGTACCTGTGTACAAGGGCTACATGTTCAGGTTAGCAGGTTGTCTTTCACCCTTGCTTAACTAGCAAACTTTAAGACTGCATTCCCACAGATTTAGATCGATCCATCTGGATCCACCTAACTCCCTGGGGGGGGTTCACGTTTAATTGCTGTCAGCTCAAGAGGCTTAAATGTCTGTCACGCCTACCCAATCAGCTAGGGTAAAGATAATTACCCCCTAACAGCTTCACTAGGCGTGACAGACATTTAAGCCAACCAAGTTGATAGCAATTTAGTGAGACTCCCCATGCAGGGGGATAGATCGATCTAAACATCTGTGGGAATGGTCTCTATGGTTTATAAGCTGGTGATGTATATCTAATTCACATAAAATATGAAGTTTTTTTTAAACTTTAACTTGAATTTGTAGGTTGATAGTATTCTTTGACACTGAATTACATTTAGAATATGTGACATTTATTGTATTACAGCAGTAGTAAGTAGTGTAGTTGTTTGAAATTTCATGATAAGAGGGAATTACCATAATTATCTTACTCTGCAAGTGCTTTTCCATGCTTTTATCAAACCATATTTTGTTTGCACATGCACAGATAATGTTTCCCTACTGAGGTCTGCTGTTAGAAAGTGCTGATGATGCTTACAATCTGTAAGAGCAATTTCTTGATCATATCTCTGATAATGAGGAAAATGTTCTCCCATCTCCACCAGGGATCTAATGTATGGCCTTTGTGTTCTGGTTAGTGTCAGTTTAAGTGTCATATTAATTATTATGGCAGTCTTCACAGCACCCTGATTTCCTGAAATCATTGCAAAATCATTTAATAGTAATAAATTCTGGTATGTTTATTATCAGGATATCCAGGTCTCATAAAAGATAATTGCTGTTTTCTAACAAAGCCTTATCGGTAGATTTGTGAGCACAAAATTGCACTTGTGGCAAGTAATTTGACACTGGGTAATTAATTAGAGGCTGGAGTCATTAATTTGGGCATTTGTGCTCTCAAATCAGGCTCGAGTTAAGAAAGTGCCTAATCCATTTATAAGGCTTGATATCTCTTAGAACCCATTCAGAATAGGGGATTTATTAGTACGAGGGTCAAATATGGTGACTCTCTGTTCACGACAGAATTAACTAGCTGAAAATAACCATATAACATCATTAGACATAAAATTTGCCTCATAAGGTTAGTTTTAGATAGGTTCAGACAGTAAGATTTGTTGTACTTAATTTTAAAATATCTAATTAACTTCCATCAAATATTTATGCAGCAAGATATGGTATGGCTCTTTCCATCATCTGCTGATATTTAAAAGACAAAGCGAAAAGAAAAGGAACAAATTGCCTCCAGTTAGCCTTTGCATTAATTCTCTCCTATTAAGACAAGCAACGGTGAAGTAAGACAACATTATGCTTCAATAATTATTGGGGAGAGGGTCCACAATGTCCTTATATATATTTTCGGTTAACAGTCATACCCCTTCCCTTCCTTAGTAAATCCCCTCCATCTGTAGACAGCACTTCAGAATGCAGACTTCTGCCAAAGCCAAAATTTAATGTTAAAAATTGTCAGAAAAAAAAACAACATATTTTAGGAATATACAGATCCAAAAACTCCAATCAAAATTGTGCAGATTTTTACTGTCTGTAATGAAAATGTCATTTAATCCATGAGGAATTTTTTGAGATATCTTACAATGTTTATAAACCAATTGAAACCAACTCACACCAGTGATTACCTCATTTGTTGGTGGGGTAATTAAATTGACCCTGTAGTGAATGAGATACATGTATCTTCAAAAGTGCAGTGACTGTCTCGCAATTACTGGCATCCATTACGTCTGTGCCGCCATTACTAGTGTCCATTAAGCCCGTCCCTGGTGACTTGCTATAGATTGCCAGGGTCTGGTCTGATAGCTGTGGCAGCTCGGGATGGCACAGTGGTGCTTGCCGTCAAGTTTTTCCTTTCTGATTACTGAAATGGTGTCTGCTTGTTGTTAAATATGATTTAGACTGAGTGCATTTGAATTGTTCTTACTGTATTTTTCTCTAGGATTTTTTCAGAATCTGTGAAGGATATAGCTGGATATGTGTATACGTAGTGTTCATCATCAAGTGAAAATTATCATTATTTTGAATTAAATTAAAGATTTGCTTGAGAAAAGTATAATGCATTTTACAATTCCTTCAGCCAAATTAGATGCCTAGGACTCAGTTGAAATATATACTGTCTTTCAGTTCAGTCCAATCTGTTATGGGATTCTTTTCCCTGAAAGTACTGCTACTATGTAACTGCTGGGGAATGCTGATTTTGCCCAATTTAGTGTTTGGCAAGAAAATTAGCATTTTATATACTAGGCTTTTTTCTGGTGCCATGTAATAATATTTGTACTGTAACAGTAGTTTTCCATGTTTTACACTGTAGACAAGAGTTTGCCTTGCAATAGCAGTACTGTTGACTGATAAAAACCCAAGGGAAAAAAATGTAGGCTAGCTGATTGTAGGGGTAAATGGTTTATTTTCTGAAGTCTTGTAATTATTTAATATCAAGGTAAAATCAATCAATATATCTTTTGTTTCAGAATGACTTCATCTTCTAGGTTTTTGTTTGTTATGTGTTAAGTACACAGAATTTCAAGTTGTCCTAAATGTAAGTTGATTTTACAAAAGAGAATTGTGAAGGTACCAGCAGATATATATTGATTTTATAATTTGACACTGTGTTACAGATAAAAGATACAGCCTTCATGTAAAACGTTTGTCCTGAACCTTAAACAACCATGATTAATTAACACATCCTGTTTTTATGATGTGACACAAAAAATATATTTATTCTCTTCTTATTGATTTTTTTTTTTTTTTTTTTGAAAAAGTTCAGCAAAGAAGCAAAAAGTGTATGAAGAGAATCAATTCTGTGGGCCAGGAATTGATGCCTGACAAATAGATTAGATTAAATGTCATCCATTCAAAAGTTAAGCCTAAATCATTATGCATTGACCATTATGTTTGTAATTACTCAAATTTGAATTATCAAATGATGGGTGTTGAATTAGTGTTATTTTCCAGAAACTATTAAGTTGGATCATAGAGTACATTCAGAAGAGCACGCTAATAGATCTCTGGATCAAATATGGCGACCTACTAAAAAACTTGCCGCCTGAATCCTGTTTAAACACTGAATAGATTCCCTGCGGGGATTACGCGACAAGCTTTCCAGTGGGTTGGCCATATTAGATCCAGGGATGTGTCAGTCTGCTGTTCCGAATGCGCCCATGTAAATGCTGGAACTGAAAATATTATGCAAGCATAGTACTTGAAAGCAATTATAGATTCATATATCACCTCTGTCACACATTTTCATGAAACATTAAACAGTTGATAACAATAA